GATTTTCTATCTAATTATTTGCGGTTTTAGTCCATTTATGCTCGGTTTTCTGGTCTTGGAGGAGGGGAGGACTGGTCTTCCCTAAGAATTATCTAAAAAGATGTGAATACAAACTTGTGATTTAAAATAACAAAGAAAGGTCAAACCAAGCTAAGGAGTTTAAAGTTGTGCCTCAGAAACCAGAAGATCCATTTAGACCAGAGACCCACCACAAGGGGGCCTCCAAGAGCTGGTTCTGGAGGGAAAAGGCAGAGACTTGAAGTTTAACTTCAGAAATTCTGATTTATTTTAGTCATTTATCTGATTTCCAAATTAATTTGGGGGGATTGTATCATATTCTTCAGAGAAAAATGAAATATTTTCATCATTTTAGTGTAAAATCAGCTCCTGTTTTCAGAGGATTCTTCATCAAACTGAGCAGTAAGACACTTTAAGCCTCATTTTCTCCTCTCAGGTTAAACTGGGTCTGTTTTTGCTCTGAAATCAACCTGTTTCCAGCTCCTGAGCACATTTTTCCACTTCTGTCTGTAACATCTTCTGGAATAGAGTTCATTTCTGGGAAGTGAAGCCTCATTCTGGAGGAAAAGCAGCAGAACTCTGAGTTCTCTGGACTAGTGTTTGATCAGAGGCTCAGATGTTGATGTTTGATCCAGAAAAAGCTCATTAAATGGAGCCGTTTGTGTCCTTTTAGGCAGTTAGATAAGCGGAGAAGAAAAGCGGAGTCAGGACTCATCAGAAAAAGGAGCTTAAAGCTGTAAACTGGAGCGGAACGTTTGTTTTGTGGGTTAAACAATGCAAACAGCTTCAGAAGAGACTGGAAACCTGTTTCAGAGTTCAGTGGAGAAGCTTGGCTGTTTTCTGCAGCTCTGGAATAAAGTTAGAGGACTTTCAGTGACGTTTAGGAGAAAATTAGAGCAGATTTTGGAGGAAAAAGTCAGAAACTCTGAGTTCTCTGGACTCTGGTTTGATCAGAGGCTCAGATGTTGAGGATCACAGACAGGTTTCTGTCAGAGTTTAACCAGCAGAGCAGGACGCATCCAGCTGCTTTTCAGCCCAAAAAGGAAGAAAAATGGGCCAAAAGATTCAAAGATGACCAGAGTTCACAATTTCTGTCCCTTTGCTGTTAGAACCAAAGCTGATTTATGCAGAATAAATGTCTTTCAGTAAACAGGCCTCGATTGTTAGTCATAGATCTCAGGTTTCTCCCGATGCATTAATGATCACAGGTGCTAATATATAATTTAGTCAGTCCACATTAAAGACAGCAGGAGGGTTAAACATCTCTGTGTTTCTCCTTTCCAGTCCACAGGTCAAAGGTCAATTCTGTCTCTGTGGGTTTATTTTGGACCGGACACGGCGGCTCTACATGCGCGCCCCCCCCCCCCCCCCCCCGGCGGCTCCAGTAGCCGTGTGAACAATCAATAATCGGAGTGATTATCCGGTTATTAGGACTCCAGCGGTGGAGGAGCCTGACGCCGATCCGCCGGCTCGCGCGCGCTGGCACGCCTCCGCTTTATTTATAGAAGCGCACGTGCACGCGCGCACGCCTGGCCGGCGTTACATAACGGCGGCCTACAAACGCAGCGCGGTCACGTGACCTGCGTGAGACGAGCCTGAACTCTGGCAGCCTCGCGCTTCATCGCTTCATCTCACACACACACACGTGCACGCTCCTGCCCCCCCCCCCCCCCCCCCCCCCCAGGCCGCCCCCCCCCCCGGCCCCAAGCCCCCCCCCCCCGCCCGTTGCTAGGCAACCCTTTGGTCCACAGGCACAACCGCAGATTTTATCAGGGGGGAAAAAAAAAAAAAAAAAAAAAAAAAAAAAAATAAAAAAAAAAAAACACAAAAAAAAAAACAACCTCCTCACAGACATCCAGAGGAGAAAATCTGATGTCAAAGAGGAGGAGCCGGGAATCTGAGCGCCTCTCTGCCTACAGCCTCATCCTCTGCTGCCTGGCAACCCCGTCACCTCCTCCGAGACCCCGGCGACGGACACCAACAGACACAGGAGCCCGCCACAGCTGGCAAACGGCTGGCAAACAGCTGGCAAACGGCTGGCAAACAGCTGGCAGCTTGATCCAGCAGGCGATCAGCATCAGATCAGAACCGAGCCCAGAAAAGAAAACAAACATACAGCAGAACCTCTACATAGGAATATAACTGGTTCCAGGACCTACCTCGTATGTTAAAATATTGGTATGTTGGTTCAAATATTCCCATCAGAACACACTGTAATTCCTAGAATTGGCTCCAAAAACCTACGATAACTCCTTAATAAATACTGCAGATAATTACGCATAGCAATAAACCAAATGACTTATATAAGAGAGATGTAAAAAGAAATAAATGAGAAAGAAATAATCATTAAAAAGGGGTTTTTACTGGCTCTTTACCTCAGACTGGTACAGGTGGAGACTGAGATACAGGACGTACCCTAACTTACTCTGACTTTCACTACCTGAACTTTAAGCTAACTTAGCTTATTTTGTTTGGTTTAATTTTTGTATTTTATATATATTTTTCTATGTTGGTAATTGACTTTGGGTGTCGAGTTGAATATTTGATCAACTTTCACTTCGGATGTAGGAAAGTTCGTATGTTAAGGCGTCGTAGGTAGAGGTTCTGCTGTAGTGGGAACTGGCCCTTCAAACAGAGCATCAGAAGACCAGCAGCGCACACAGCTCCTCCGTTAGAGGAGATGTTTGAGTATCCTGGAGAGTTTCACTTCTTTCCTGTAACACCTTTAACAGACCTTTTGGCACAGAGAAGACAGAGTGATGAAGAATTTTAGGTTATATTGTCCCATCCTTCCTGGAAATGCGTCTAAAAGTGTGCAGAGGTGTGTTGTTTCTGTCTAACGTCATGGATGTCCTTAAAGTGGATCTTTAGGCGCTTTGTCAGCAGCAGCCTGTCACAGAGACACATCATCTGTTCTGTTTCTGGAGCTGATGGAGGAAATAGGCCAAAGAAAACCCAGTCTGACAGACAGGAAACAGGATTTCTGAGGATTCAAAGAGCTGCTGGCTGAAAACTGGGTAGATCTCAGCAGGTGAGCGGTGAGGCCTTAAAACATCAGAGGAAGTTTACTGATTTTAGACTTCAAAACGCTCAGAATAAAGGAGGTAAAACACCCTCACTCAGTTCCACAAATGGAAGTAGGTCTTAATGAATAGTGACCATGAAATCTGTCTCAAAGATTTGGAGTCAAAGGGCCAGAAGAAGAGCTGGGCCTAAAAAACTCTGTAATCCAGCAGATGAAGAGGATCTGAAAGTGATGTCCTTCAGAAAGAGGAACATCTCCAGCAGAGAGCTGAACAGGAGCTGAGAGCTGCATCTGGACCTCCAGCTGATCAGCTCCTGGTGGCTGAATCAGAAATGCTCTCCATGAAGGGGGGCTCTCAAGAAGCCACTCTGAAGGAAGGAAACAGGGAGGAAAGGCTGAGCTATGCCAGAAGAACCAGAGGTGGAATGAACACCAGCTCTGATGGAGGGATGGATCCTCACTCCTTTAAGGGTTTTTTAATACACCAAGAAGGTAGAAACAAGGCTTAAAATGACCAAAAACTACACCAAAATAGCAAAAAACAGGCTAAAATGACCAAATATACAGCGAAAAAAGGCAAAAACAAGGCTAAATTGACTGTAAATACAGCGAAAAAGAAGCGAAAATAGAGATAAAAAGACCTGAACAAAGCAAAGGTACAAAGAAGAAAAGCCAATTAAGCTGAAACAGATGTAAACGTCTTCCTGTCAGTTATTGAACAGCAACTAAACCAAACAGAGTTCCCACAGTGGGTCAGAAACTGAATGAAGCCACGAAGCTGCATGTGGAAGTTAGCATTAGGAACCAAAAGTGGACTGAAAACCAGCTTTAATGGAGGGATGAATCCTTACTCCTTCAAGTATTTTAATACACCAAAAAAGGGCTTGAAATGACCAAAAATACACCAAAAAAGCAAAAACAAAGCCAAAAAATGTCCTAAAATACTACAAAAAAATCCCCAAAATAAAGCTAAAACAGAGCTAAATGTGTTCCTGTCAGTTATGTAACAGCATCAAAACCTCCCAGAGCTCCCACAGTGGGTCAGAAACTGGATGAAACCAGGAAGATGCATGTGGATGTCCTTCAAGAGGCTGGAGCGCTGCTCCTGGAGACTCCTCACAAAAAGGAGCTGCTCCTGGAGGCCCCTTAAAGAAAGGAGCTGCTCCTGGAGGCTCCTAAAAGGCTCCATGATTGACCAGGAAGGAGCTCAAAGCCGAGGTCCACTTAGTTCCAACAAATCAACCTTTTCCTTTCTTATGTATAGAAACAGGGACTTGCTTCAGGCTTTAGCAGACGACTATGACTTGCTACACCTTCCCCAACTGATTGGATTACTTTTATTTTTTTAACCAAATCATAGAAACAAAGGTCAGCAGAGGATGAAAATAAGGACACGGTGAAGGTGAGCATCTTGAAGAGGGACTCTAATTACCCCAAAAGGTCACCAGCGACTTGGCCTGACGGTGCTGATTAGCCGAAACAGCCCAGAGGTTCCTGCTCTCTCCACATCCTGCTGAAGAACGATGGGACCCTTCATACAAAATGCATGTGAGCAGTGAATAATTGATCGTGCTTTTTATTCCTCTGACAGGGATGACATGTGATTTAAAAAGCACTAGCTCAGTGGACTCAGGTGCAGACTCAGCAACTCAGCAAAACCACCAAGATCTGAGTCAAAAAGCTTGCAGAACTATCAAGAATTGGAACAAACCCAGGGAAACCACCAAAAAATGAGACAAAAAGCTTGCAGAACAACAATGAACTGAAACATAACTCAGTAAAACCAACAATAACTGAGACAAAATTCAGCAAAACCACCAAGAACTGAAACAAAACTCAGCAAAACCACCAAGAACTGAGACAAAAGGCTTGTAGAACCACCAAGAACTGAAACATAACTCATCAAAACCATCAAGAACTGAAACAAAACTCAGCAAAACCACCAAGAACTGAAGCAAAACTCAGTAAAACCATCTACACCTGACATAATTCAGAAAAAACACCAAGAACTGAGACAAAAAGTTTGCAAAATCATCAACAACTAAGACAAAATTCAGCAAAACCATCAAGAACTGAAACAAAACTCAGCAAAACCACAAAGAACTGAGACATAATTTAGCAAAACCACCAAGAACTGAGACAAAAAGCTTGCAGAACCACAAAGACCTGATATCTAACTATGAGACCATGCACAGGGACAACCTGTGAGTTAAAAAAAGCACAAGCTCAGTGGACTCAAGTCCACCAAAAATCCAGCAGATTAGCGTACTGGATGCTGAAAAAATCCCTCCGTGTCACCTTTATGTCATCAAATTGCGTCAGTTCCAGCAGCTTTTTGTGTTCCTGTTCAGACTTTTAGCCTCGACTGTGAGAAAAAACAGCCTAATGGTGTTAAACTGACTGCAAAAGAGGGCCAGAGGATGAGATAGATCATGGATGATGTACGTGTTTGTGCTACACTACAGAAAGATGAGTCAACTCCTTCATATTCACAATAGCTGCAGCCACGACCGAATGGCATCACAACAAATCATCACTGATGTCACCATCTGCTGCTGGATGGCGCCCAGCCAGCCCTGGCAGAACCCGCCGCCACCTCTCTGAGCTCTTACATTTCACACCTCAACCATCAGGTCTGGAGACGAAGTAAAATCACACAACAAAACCCAGCAAAACCACCAAGAGCTGAGACAAAACTCAGCAAAACCACCAAGAACTGAGAAAAAAAGTTTGCAGAATTATCAATAACTGAGACCAAACTCAGCAGAACCACCAAAAACTGATACAACATTAAGCAAAACCACCATAACTGAAGCAAAACTAAGTAAAACCATTAAGAACTGAGACAAAACTTAGAAAAAAACACAAAGAACTGAAACAAAAATCTTGCAGAACCACAAAGAACTGAAGAAAAACCCAGTAAAACCACCAAGAACTCTACAAAACCACCAAGAACATAGACAAAAAGCTTACAGATCAATCAAGAACAGAAACAAAGCTCAGAAAAAACACCAAGGACTGAAGCAAAACTAAGTAAAATCATCAAGAACTGAGACAAAACTCAGAAAAGACACCAAGAACTGAAACAAAAACCTTGCAGAACCACCAAGAACTGAAGCAAAAATCAGTAAAATCGCCAAGAGCTGAAACATAACTCAACAAAACCATCAAAAACTTGCACAAAAAGCTTGCAGATCCACCAAGAACTGATATCTAACCATGACACCGACTGACGTTTGGACTTGAAACCCACACAGGACACAAAAAGGGTGAGTCTGGAAAGACGGGTTTGGGTCTGAACTCCTCTCACCTGCTTCCAAAGCCCCCCCTGGTCCCCGTGGGGGAGTCGAGGCTGTCTCCGGGCTTGGCCGGCCGGTTCATGTGCTGTAGGATGGAGCTCAGCTCGGTGATCACCGTGCTCTTGGCCTCCGGCGTGCCCGGCGGGCTGCGCGGCTCCTGGTCGCCCCACAGCCTGGACGCCCTCTGGGACGGCGTCCGGGGGGGCTCCGCTGACTCGGGGGGCGGCGGCGGCGCCTCTGGGGGCTCCTCGATGAGGGCGTCGTGGTAGAGCGAGGTCCGGTTGATGACCGGCTTGCCTTTGGGCTTGGGTGGCACCGGCGGCCGGTCGGCCAGGAAGGCGTGGCCGTCGGCGGCGCCGGCGGCGTACAGGCCCTCCAGGGCGCTGTCGCAGAAGCCGCCTTCCGAGGACAGCGTGGAGATGCTGGACACAGTGCTGGTGGTCTCCGTGTGCTGGGGGTCCCCGCTGCTGCGGCTGTCCGGCTCCTCGATGCCCGAGTCTCCCACCGCCGCCGCCTCGGGGTCGCCGTAGGGCGGCGGCAGGCTGTTGGCCAGCCGGCGGAGCTGGTCGGCGGCGGCTGCGGGCGGCGGCACGTGCGGGTGGTACGGCGGCAGCGGCAGCCCGCCGTTGCGGCGCTGCTGCTGCAGCATCTCGGCGATGGCGCTGGCCTGGTCGTCGGGGACGTCGATGCTGTTGGCGAACTCCAGCGGCGGCGGGAGGGGCTCCGAGAACTCAAACTCCTCGTCGATGTCGACGGACGCCAGCGGTGGCGGCGGGATGCGGAAGGGCAGCTTCACCGGCTCGTCCAGAGACTCCCCCAGGGGGACGCTCCTCCTCCGGGAGGCGGCCGACGGCGGGTGGGCCGACAGGGCGCGGGGCTCGGGCTGGTTGAGGTCCTTCAGCTCCGCCGGCCGGTTGCTGTCCTGGACCTCCGACTCCTGGTTGCTGGGCTTGTTGCCGGTTGCCTCGTTGCTGGTGTGGACCATCAGCAGTCCGGCCGACTTGGGCGGCTCGCCCGCCTCGGCCGGGGCGCTCTTCCTCTCCTGGAGGGCTGGGTGCTTGCGTTCCTCCCGGGCCCCGTCGGACTCGTACTTCTGCTCGGTCGCCTGCCGGCGGAGGCCGCCGCGGCCCGGCCGGCCCATGGTGGAGGCGGAGATGGCGGCGAAGCTGGTCTCGATGCCGGAGCGCAGCTTGGTGTCGATGAAGAGCGGCTGGTTGAGGTCCGGCTTGCGGCTCTGCTGCAGGGGCAGCGACTGGGCCTCGTGCTTGGAGCCCTGCTGGCCCTGGGGGGGGTTCGGCGACTGGTTCTGGGGATGGTTCTGCTGCTCCTTCATGGCCCGGTCGCGGGCCGCCAGCGCCAGAGCCAGCGGCGAGTTGGGGTCTAAGGGTTTGCCGGTGACCGGGTGGAGGTAGGTGCCATTGGCCTTGTAGTGGCTCTTGGGGGACGTGGCCGGGAGGCTAACTGGACTGTCCAGGTTGGGACACTGGCCCGTCCTGGTGTTGAGAGGCTCCCGGACCACAGTGGGTTCGGGGGTGTTGAAGTCCGTCATGTTGCCGCTGCCTCCGCCGACGGGGGGGCCGAGCTTCGCCGCCGAGAGGGGCGCCATTATCCTCCGGAGGCGCTCGTCGCTGCTGAACATGCCCTCGTCGATGGACTTGGACTGGCGGAGCCGCGGGGTCGGCGCGGGGCTGCTCAGCTCGTCGTCCCCGATGTCGATGGACTGGAAGGCCACCGTGCTCTTCCTGGCCTCCAGCCGCTTCTCGCGGTCCCGCACCGCCCCCGCGATGGCCGCGGCGAACGGGTTGTTGAGGGACATCGGGTCCTCGGGCCGCAGCCCTCCGGTGGGCGTGAGGGGCGGGTGCTCGGGCGTGGTGGGTTCGATCTCCATGCTGCTGCCCTGGCTGCTCTTGCCGCTGCTGCTGGTGGAGGGCTCCTTGACGATGATGGTGGGGATGGGGATGGAGGAGCAGGTCCTCTCCACGGGCGTGGTGGGCATGGACGCCGGGCCCGAGGGGCTCGCCGCCACGCGGCAGGACTTCTCCGGGCTGTCCTCCACGTTGGGCTGCTTCACCAGCATCCCCTTCCTCCTGGCCGGCTTGGCCGGCACGTACAGGGTCTTGTTGCCCACCTCGGAATAGGGGTTCTCCGGGACCGGCGTGCGCCCCCGGAGCCGGGTGCTCTCGAACTGCTCCGAGCTCTGGCGGTAGTAGCCGCGCCGCAGCGTGCTGGCGTCCTTGGCCTGGCCGATGGTGGTCACCGCGTTGGGCGAGTTCTGGGCGAAGCTCGGTCGGCCGGCGTAGGTCTTGGTGGACGTGGGGCTGGCGGGCGAGTTGTAGGCGGGCGGCGAGGGCGGCGAGATGGCCGGGGGAGGCGGGATGTCCTCCGAGGTGTCGGGCATGGAGAGGCTGCGGGAGAACTTCAGCATGGGAGGCGTGAGGAATCCCTGTTTCTCATCCTCCGATGTGCCTTCAGGGAAACGGAGCAGAAGGGAAAACTGTGTGAGGACCCCTGGGAGACATACCCCCTTCTCAGAGTTCTTCGCTAAATAAAAGCAGGGCATTGCCGGCAGCAGTCAGACAGAAATGACAAATGTTGCCCTTTTCGCTGCAGAAATGGGGAATTTTCTGGTGAATGAATGACCGAATGCCTTAAAATTAAATCCCGACAATAGAACTCAAGTCAAAGAAAAACATGGATATTCATAAATCTCGGTTGATATTTTCGCAGCAATTATGAAGCTGTGTGAAATAAAAAGGGGGTCAAACATAAATAACAAATGCTGCTCTTTTGCTGTAGAAATTCTGATGAATGAGTGCCTTAAAATTAAATCTCGACAATGGATATCAAATCAAAGAAAAATTGTTTAAATCTCAGTTTAAATGTATGCTGCAATTATGAAGCTGCGTGCAATAAAAATATTGGGTCAAACAGAAAAGAACAAATGCTGCTTTTTTGCTGCAGAGATCGGGAATTTTCTGGTGAATGAATGACCGAATGCCTTAAAATTATATCTCGACAATGGAAATCAGGTCACATAAAAAACAAGGATATTCATAGAGCTCAGTTTAAATTCATGCAGCAATTATCAAGCTGTGTGCAATGAAAAGGGGGTCAAACATAAAAATCCTCCGACTAAAATGTTGCTGCTTTACAGTGTGGTGACATTTAAATAAAAAACCACCTCCCACAGAATAGAAGTGAGAAGATGACTAGTCAGCCTGCGGACGACCCTCCAATGAGGTGTTAAAACGGCTTCTTTTATTTGTGCAGCAAATGTAAATTGCGACACAATAAACAAAAGTCATTCATTCGTAGCGCTGCCAAACAAGCGCATGGTGCTGCTGCTGCTGGTAAATCGAAGGAGCTGGGGCTAACATTAGCCCGCGTGACGCTCCTCTGGCTCTGCAGAGGGACTGAAGCCTCAGCAAATGCTTAATGACCTCCAGTCCCATCGCCTGGGAGCACGCTTTGCTGACTGGATCGCTCTAATTCATCTATAATTAGCTGCAATATTGCAGGAGCGGGCGGCACGAGGCCTCCGCGCACTCGGAGGGTACGGCTGGCGTCATACCTATGGACTTCTGCTTCTTCATGGTGCCCTTCTCAGGTAGGCCCAGGTAGGGTCCCGGCACAGTGGGCGGCACCACTGCTACTCCCTGGCGGTCGTGATACATGGACTGAAAATCAGAATTTTGCTCGTGACATAAGCAGAAATTCACACTTTCTGTCGGTTCCCACTAGCATAATCTAACCTACCCCCCCCAAAAAAATAGGCCTCATAGCAGATTTTCATTCTAAACCCAGTGATTCTGGTCCGGGAGGGTTCTTTCCATTCTGTTTTTTGGGACATTGGGATCCACTGATCCCACTCACACTTTGTCACCTGTGAGTCACTTACAAACCTAACCAACATGTTCTGGTTGAAAGATTCACTCTGTGCGTGACGGCTGAGGCCACCCACTTTAAACAAAATAACTATTTTCCTCTCCATAAAAGACAAAACAACTAGGAATAGATCAGAGATGGTAAACTGGGCCTGAAAATGCTTTTTTAATTTAGTTTTCACTGGTTAAACTTCCAAGGATATCCTAAATGTAGAAAATCATACTGTTAACATTGTGAAAGCTCACCCTAAATAAGGATTTAGTCTTTTTATGGCTGACAATCATCCAATCACAGCTAAATTTTACATAATTTAGTCTAAGAACCCAAATCCAAACTAATCCTGAGTAAAGGCAACAGGACTAAAACCTGCTTGTTGTTGCTGAAGATTGGCGGATTATTCTCCTTTGATTTGGTCTGAGACCAAGTGGAAATCATGATGTGGCGGAGCTAAAAGCCCCTGTTTGGTTTACAGTTGTAACTTTAGGAGCTTCATGCAGCTCGACAACAGGTGTTTTTAGCTTGTGGAAGGCCGACAGCAGCTAAAAAGCCTGAATCTGCCCAGCAGGCTAAGAGATCTGGGAGTGAAGGGTTTAGGTTCCTTTTCAAGCTTGAACATTTAGAAAAACAGAAGGAAGAAGGAGGTAAAAGTCATTTTTTGGTCATTTTAAAGCTGAAAAACAAAAGAAGGACAAATGAAGATAAGTTCACAAGGTTAATAACAATGTACTCTGAAGCGTTAAAGGGCTCAATTTCACATCGCCTTCAAATAAATCTCTCTAAAACTGAACTGCTCGTCTTTCCAAACCAACATTGGACTACAGTTTCCATCCAAACTGAATCTCTATCTCTGCTCCATCAAAGGAAGTGGGAAACTGTCCTGACTGATGACCAGCTGACTTTTAAAGATCGTGTTGCCTCTGTTCCTAAGAGGCGTTCGGCCATGGCTAACCCAACGAGCCACCCAGATCCCGGCCAATCAGCGATCATCTCCCGATTTGACTACTGTATCGCTCTCCTGATTTGTCTCCCAGCCAAGTCACTGAGGTTAGGGTTAGGGTCAAGGGTACGACTCCCATCTACCTGAATACCCTTTCAAAGGCTCATGTCCCACTTCATTCATCAAAGGATTGACGCTTAAGACAATCCAGACTCTTTAAGAGTCTTGATGGTAAACTGACCTAACGAGCGCTACAAGAACTCAAGAAACTCTTGAAGAACCAGCTCTGCAGAGAGCATCTATCTCTACACTGTGGCCTCTAACAGAGTCTGACTGGTGATTTCCTTTATGTCGCTCACTGTTAGCTTTGATACTAACTGTGATATTGCATCTACAGGGGTTGGCCAATGAAACTGAAACACCTCTCATTTTAGTGTGTGAGATTTCATGGCTAAATTTGACCAGCCTGGTGGCCAATCTTCATTAATTGCACATTGAACCAATAACAGCAGACTGTGAAGGTCTAATTAGTAGGGTAAAAGCACAGTTTTGCTCAAAATATTGCAACGCACACAACATTATGGGTGACATAGCAGAGTTGAAAAGAGGACCAATTGTTAGTGCACGTCTTGCTGGCGCATCTGTGACCCAGACAGCAAGTCTTTGTGATGCATCAAGAGCCACGGTATCCAGGGTAATGTCAGCATACCACCAAGAAGGACGAACCACATCCAACAGGATTAACGGTGGACGCAAGAGGAAGCTGTCTGAAAGGGATGTTCGGGTGCTAACGTGGATTGTATCCAAAAAACATAAAACCACGGCTGCCCAAATCACGGCAGAATTAAATGTGCACCTCAGCTCTCCTGTTTCCACCAAAACTGTCCGTCGGGAGCTCCACAGGGTCAATATACACGGCCGGGCTGCTATAGCCAAACCTTCGGTCACTTGTGCCAATGCCAAACGTCGGTTTCAATGGTGCAAGGAGCAAAAATCTTGGGATGTGGACAGTGTGAAACATGCCCCAAAAAAGCGGACCACCCAGACTGTTGCATGCCCAGAGTGAAGCATGGGGGTGGATCAGTGATGGTTTGGGCTGCCATATCATGGCATTCCCTTGGCCCCATACTTGTGCTAGATGGGCGCGTCACTGCCAAGGACTACCGAACCATTCTGGAGGACCATGTGCATCCAATGGTTCAAACACTGTATCCTAAAGGAGGTGCCGTGTATCAGGATGACAATGCACCAATACACACAGCAAGACTGGTGAAAGATTGGTTTGATGAACATGAAAGTGAAGTTGAACATCTCCCATGGCCTGCACAGTCACCAGATCTAAATATTATTGAGCCACTTTGGGGTGTTTTGGAGGAGCGAGTCAGGAAACATTTTCCTCCACCAGCATCACGTCGTGACCTGGCCACTATCCTGCAAGAAGAATGGCTTAAAATCCCTCTGACCACTGTGCAGGACTTGTATATGTCATTCCCAAGACGAATTGACGCTGTATTGGCCGCAAAAGGAGGCCCCACACCATACTAATAAAGTATTGTGGTCCAAAACCAGGTGTTTCAGTTTCATTGTCCAACCCCTGTACATTGTGAGTATCTTTGGATGAAAGCGTCTAAATGCAGAAAATTAAAAAAAATACTTCTGTCTCTTATAGACATAAAGAGAAAAGACTCTTTCTGAATCACTCCTTGATGGTAAAATTATCTAACGAATGCTACTAGAACTCAAGAAACTGTACCCCCTTACCCTCTACTACCCTTTCTGTACCTCTATCTCTACACTGTGGCCACTAACAGGGTCTGATTGGTGATTTCCTTTATGTAGCTTATTGTTAGCTTTGATGCTAACTGTGATGTTGCATCTGGATTGTAAGTCGCTTTAGAAGCGTATAAATGCAGAAAACATAGATACTTCTGTCTCTTAGAGTCCGAAAGGATCCCTAAGGAACCTAGACCCCTCATAACTTGTAAATATCGAACATGCCAGCAGGTGAAGGCTCTTTAGGACCCTTACATTCATATCAGTGGGCGTCACAAAGCAGCGGCTGGATGGGCGGGGCTTAATGGTGGCGACCTTCATGTCCACAGGCGAGGCCTTCTGGGCGTGCGTCATCTCGTCGACTTTATCTGAAAGACAAACCGAGCCGAGACCCATGAGCATCAACGCCGTGCGGGCCGGACCGAACTTGCAAAGCCGCCTCGACAGGTCAAACGCAAGCTAATCATTCACAGCGGCGCTCCCTGCGCCTCCAGGCCGAGCTGCAGATGGGACTACACAACGCCCGGGGTCATTCTGAGGGGAGAGCAGGGAGGGGAGGGCATGGGGACTTTGATGAAATGTGTCCAGCCTCGGAAGCCGTGCAAGCTTTTCTTTTCTTTTTTTAAATTTCTTTTTCCAAACAGCCGACTCGGAAGCGTAATCCAAGTCTGGGAGGACGTGGCTCCCTCAATAAAACGTGAAACAAGCGATGAATGCGGCCTCTGTCAAGTTTGCCGTTATCTTTAACCTCTCGCCCGAAACTCGGGACAGGCATCAACGGCAAATTTGTCAGATTTCAAGTTCCCACTGGTGTGAGATGACGCCCTCTGATAGGGTCCACCGGGAGGGCTGTCGCTAAGGGAAGCTACATGCTAGTCCTGATGTGTCCTGTCACTGAGTTGCCTCCCTGGCTATCGCTGCCAAGGATGGAGAAAGCTTCCATGCATTAAGGGAGTGATTACTTAGAGTGACTTGGAAAACAATCCTCTTCTTCTGCGCATCTACACACAGAGGAGAGGAAAAGGGGAGGAAAGACCGTCAATGACCCGAACTGCAGGAAGACACACACATAAACAGCAGAGAGGTGCACGTTTGTCCTCTTTCTGTCCGTTCTGCCTCCCGGTTGCACCGAAGCCACAGCATCTCGCACAACATGCAGCGTGGTTGCCCTGGAAACCTATCCATGAGTGAAGCCTTTCCTGGAATAAACCTCCTCCTCCTCCTCCTCCTCCTCGCAGCAAAACAGATGCACAGAAACACATTTACACAGGCCTACAGACGCACAGGAAGCACACAAGGGTGAAACTAAAAACAGAGATTTTATGGCCAGCATGCACAAATACACAATCAGTAGAGCTATTAGTCATCTCTGATGAAGTTAGTGGAACGCTTGTCCACAGAAGCTGAGGGAAGGACTCAGCGTTTGCTGAGTTTATGACCGGGTTATTGACAAAAATCGTCCAATCTTTTGCTTAATCAGCACAGTAAGGTTTGAACAGGCTTCACAGTCCCATTGAAACATTTATCGATCCCTTAAAATAATAATCTGTATTCCTTAAAATCACATTGTCTCTGTATGACTCATCTTGAATCTATCCCCTCGGCCAGCTGTTGGCCAATTAATATTAAAAATGTTTTTAATCATATCTAAATCAGGTTGGGCTTTTTTTAGAAATTTAAGGAAATAATTAGACGCTGCACTGCTCTCCAAGTCATGTTTAAAAATGCAGCGAGCAGCTTCTCATTTTACCAGCCATGTGGAGAGACTCATCCCGAGGTCTGGAAAAGACGTCAGCCTGTTTCAGGAGGTCAAACCATCATCACCAGGAAGAGGAGACGGCTGGGGGGGGGGGGGGGGGGGGGGGGGGGATGCAGAAACCACTAAAACTGGGTCAAAACTGTCCAATGCATTATTCAAAACTGCAAGGAAAGAAAAGAATCCTGAATGATGGTGATCTGCCATCACTGAAACGTTTGGTGGAATCAAATGGAAGAAACACAAAATTATCACTATAAAAACAAGGAATTAACTAATGCTTCATTTACAATGTTCAGATCCTTACCATTTGCTGATAAGACACACAAAGAAGTAGACAAACAACAATTGTTTGTATACAAAACTGTCAAATGATATTTTATCAGCTTTCTATGTCTGATGTAAAATATACACTGATGTTAAGGAAACATGAGGATCTCAGTTAAAAAATCTGAAAGGACTCTTGCATTTGGCTTAATTTACATATATATATTTTTTATCATTAAGAATTATTTTGTAAGAATTAATTGTTGGCCAACTTTTATCCGACTGTTAGCTAATTGTTTGCTACTTGTTGGTTAACTGTTATCCTACTGTTCCCAGTTAATTAACTGTTAACTGTTAGTTAAATGTGCAGTAACTGCTAGCTAAGTACTAGCTATTTGTGAAATAACTGTCAGCTAACTGTTAACCTATCATTGACTAATTCTAAGAAAAATTTACAGCTAACTTTGGCTAACTGTTAGCGAACTGCTGGCTTATTGAGCTTTATAAAACTGGAGTTTAACCTGGAATAACACTTTAAAATCAAGATGGATTGAATTCAGATCTGAGAAAAAGTTGAAGAAGAGGTAAAAGGTGTTTAAAGTCTTTCTTGGATTCCTGGACAGAGCAAAAGAGAAGGCAACATCTTCCATATCTTTAATTCTGTTATTCGGGAAAGGATGAATAAATTCAGTTAGATAATCTAAAATAATTTACACACAAACAATACAGATTTTAAGGTAGATTATAAACCTATTTGGTCTTTATTGACTCTTTGGATTCCATTGGATGGGCATAAATAAGCTTTAGCCTCCACTTATTCCTCGTTTGTGAAGTGAGTTGTTATTTTATTAACTTTTTGCTATTTGTGGTAATTTCCGTGCGCTTATTTAAAGCGAACAGCCTTTTTAAACAGCTGTGAGGGGTAAAAAAAACAAACATTTGTTTTGTTTTTGACATTAAGACAACATACAGGCATGCAGCAGCAGTTTTTACGTCAGCTGGAACCAGAGGGAAACCATGCAGGTACAGTAGGACAGCAGGTTTGTTCGGAGCCACTCAGACAAATCAAAAGAAAAAATGGCTAAAACAACCAAAAGCAACACCATTAGTTCACTGCTGGGAAACGATGAGGACGCCAGGAAACAGACACGACGGCAGACTTCAGCATGCCTACAGTCACTTACCACCTTTCTTTTTCCTTAGAGTGGCTTAAAAGGCGACAGAGAAACATTTCTGAGATTAAAAAAGCCTAAATCCTTCATGCAAGAGGAGTAATAAACCCAGGACGAAGGTCTATAAATGTGAGCATTGAAACATCCAGCCCTCTCGGTTCTTCCTTAACTTTGACCTCTTTCAGACTCGCTGGGACCCAGGATGCTTTATGCTTTTTGCTAATCTCAAGCAGTAGTTTTACGGTCTTTCTTTAAAGGTGCCCTGCCACACGTTTTTCATGACTTGTGATTCTGAAGTTCTACAATGGACTCTGTAACATTGTTTGTGGAGAAAATGCCTTGTTACCTTGTTTCAGGCCATTCTAGCGAGGTACGGAAAGCCTGCTGGATGACTCAGCTCGATTTGGCCAGTTCTCATGAATATTCAACAAGCTAATCTGCTTGACTCTGACTGGCTAACAGCTACCAAATGAGAGCCTAGTTATCTGTATCCTATACGCTGTGCAACAAGGTGAGAAATTTGGTTTACTATCGTCTGGAATCACTGCAGAAACAGCCTCTGGTCTATTGCCATATATTAATATATGACCCTGAATCTGAGGAGGAGACGCAGTGAATCATGGAGCCCATGTCGGTGCTTTTCGCTCCCCTGGGAGTTACCCATTACTTGGAATGTTATAATTTCATAATATAATTAGCAAAAATAAGCTTTGTGTTGTCTTTGGCATTGGTTTTGTCCACAACCAGAAGGCTTGCTGACTCATTTTAGCTTCATGGCGTGAACTTAGCTAGGCTAGCGAGCGCTAGCATTGTCCAAATGGATAAAACCTAGAACGTTGCTAAGCTAGCAGGTGTTACCACTGTCCAAACAGACATAAAACCTATATAACAGCACTTCCTCTCCTCTCTCTGGGTTATGGGGCATTGTTGAAGTTCTGTTTAAACATATCACACAGGAACAGTGACATTAAACCATCCTCCCTGTAAAAGAAAACCGTCACTGTCTGAGCTAGCTAGATTCTGTTGGTCTCAACTGGGCGAACTAATGAATAGTAATGAGCTCAGTCAACAGCACGTCAGACTGATAAGCTTTTTTCGAATCGGCCTGATTTCTGGCTTATTTCTTTTCAGTGGCTGTAGCAGACTGATGAGGTAGAGGTTAATTCCCACATTCACTACATAACACAAACACACATGGACCTTACATGATTAAGAAATATAAGTAAAAACGCTTTTGTGTGGCAGGGCACCTTTAAGGAGCTACTTCTGCCTCACTCTTCATTTGTGGAGGTTTTGGAGCATTAAATCAGAGTAAGTCCCACTTTCTTTGGGTGGGAAAAGAAAAGGAAAGCGACTGAGGCCGGAGACTTTCCACAGGACGGCAGACGTGATGCATAAAAATGGGTCTGTGAAGCCAAAACTCAGCCTTTCTCCAGCGTTTATTGATCCACTTTTGGCCTCCGCTAGAGTCTGATGGGATATTAACCACAATCAGTTCATCTTAAACCATCATTAAACCACTTTTTTCGGGTCTCACATAGTTTTTTCTTGTTGACATATCAGGAGTTTTCTAACTAAACAGGAGCCACAACAACTTAAAAACCAATTACATTCTCATTCAAACAGAGAAATTCTGATCAAAATGACTATTTTGTTGGTTTTAGCAGAAGGTAAAGGCTCTTTTAAACGATCAGGACAGATTTTATACTTATATGTATAAAGGAAAATCCCTAAAAGTGGGGCATGACCCAACCAGAACAGACTAACATCGGATCCAGGCTAGTTTTACCGGATCTTGGTGGGACTTTGCTGTTCTTTATGACCCACTTTAGGTCTAAAATGCTTCATATCTGATCAATATCTAAAAAAACTGGTGATGAAACGGGTCAAAGTGTGCCGGTTGTTAGTTTAATCCTTCCTTTTTCCCCCCAGACAGGTGGATTATTTTTTTAAAATCCATTCAAAAGTAGCTTGAGAGGTTTTAGGAAGTAGAAAATAGATCATGTGAATTAACTGTGAGCTCAGAATTAAAACGAGGCGTCCATCTGATCCAGGTCTCTCAGGTTTTCAGGCTATTTAAAGTACTTCATTAAGTGTTTAAATCATTTCTTTACAATAGTCACATTTCCAAGAACAGAGGTCCTGATTTGGACTGAAGTCCCTCTGACCAAAGCGGCTGAACGACGTTTAGCTTTAAATTACAATTAAACTCCGACATTTGAAGCTTCCTATTGGTGGAAAATGCCAGAAAA